GGGGGGGACCTTATGGATTCATGTAAAAGGTAGGTTTGGGGGGGGGGTACCATATATATATATGCATATCTATATATATATATATAACTCAAGGGCTGACGGGATGACATGCAGTTATGGCCTACTAGCCACCAGTAAGAGCCCTAATTCTTAAGCTCTAAATCCCTGAAACCCTACACCAGGAGTCTCTCTTGCCAGGATTCTTGGCCGGAGCAGAAGAAGTGCGTGATCGCATTGAAGATGAGGAGGAGATGCGGGCAGTATACTGGATTATGAGGGGAGTTATATATGGGGTCCCTGCTAAGAATTCTTCATAAAAGTTTTTGAAACTCCCCATGCAGTCTATTTTGGTTTCGTGCATGCGGACTTAAGGCTTGGGAGTTGAGGGGTTGGTGTTTTAGGGATTTATGGACCAGACGGTGACAGGCCTGACAGCCCAAAAGCCCCCCTTGGTGGTTATATTGGGGGTTAGAAAAGCATTAAATTAGGGTTACTAAACCCTAAACCATAAGCCCAAAACCCAAAACAACCTTATACTATATATTCCTACATAGACCCTTTGGGTTTAGCGTTGGGGCTAAAGGAAGAAGTCTAGTACTATATTCCTACATCGACCCTTTGGGTTTCAAAGGGTGTAACCCAAAATTCTGGTCAATCCTTGGGCCAGCGGGAAGGGTGAAAAGATCCAGAGGGTCCATGTAGGAATCAAATATGGTATTGGGGGTTTATATAGGGGCTTGTATTGGGGGTTATATTGACGCACCATCCGTCCCAGAAGCTTTTGATGGACCACACAGGGACACCCACCTCCTGGTTCCGGTTCAGGGCTTTCAACAGGCGGTAATATCTTATGAGTAGTAGAAGTAGCATTATGGCTTTAGGAAAAGGTATCTCTAAAGTGAACTTCCAAGGAGTCTCCCAAGGTGTCTCTCGTCTCGAAGAGGATTTTCAGCATTGCCCTCAAGGATCTCTCTTGTGACGAAAGTTCTTAAGATGCCAAAGCCTAAGCCCTAAACCTTAGACCCCTAAACCTTCAACCGCTAAACCTTGACCCCCAAGCCTACCCCAAAGCCATAAGCACCAAACAAGCCCAACAGCCCGGATCCTGAAACCTGAAGTCCCTAAAGCCTACGCTTTGTCCTTCAACCCTGAGCCTTAAACGGTTTTACGGTTTGGAGGTTATGAGGGTTGAAAAATCCCTAAGCCCCAGAATCCTGAGCCCTAAGCCTTAAACTAAACCCCAAAATCCTTAATCCTAAGCCCTAAACTAAAGCCCAAAATCCTGAACCTTAAGCCCTCAGCCGCAAGCTCTGGGATGAGAAGTTGTGAAGGACAAGCCTACCGGATCCTCAGCCCTGGAGAAAGAAGGCTTCTGGGTTTAACGGCTTAGGGTCTTAGGGTTTGGGGTTTAGGAAAGTCGGGGGTCTAGAATGTACAAGCGTTGCAATGGCAAAAGGAGTAAAGGCGTTATCGTCAACAACCGTTCCTTGGCTTCCTATGTCTAGAAAAGAGGGTGATCAAAGCAACTTTCTCTCTAGGAGCAACTTTTGGCCAAGAACTTCTTCGTTTCTTTTCTTACTGCTTGTTACGCTTGCACACAGGAAGCTTGAAAAGGGAGGGTTTGGGTGGCCGCCACATTCATATCAAGGCATTTGTTTGATTGGTGAACCGCTTGTCCAGCAACCTTGTCAGCGCATGTTGAAAAACCAACAAGTAAGCCCCCAAGCCCTAAAACATGAAACCCGGTAAGCATGATCGAAATCATCCCTGGAAGTGAGCCTGACGGAAGGGTTGAGGGTTGACGGCCTGCATGGTGTTCTGTCAACATCATGGGTCCCTCTTGGGTTCCTTGCGCAAGATATGTTATGGTGGAGGGTGATTGTGGGTCTGCTTTTGATTTTATTTCGGCTCTTCCGCCAAATGGGTCCATGATTTGAGGACATACTATGTGGGCCAAAGCTGCATTCTGGGCTGCAAACATGGCGGGGTTTGGGGTTGAGGGCTTGGCTGGCAGGTTTGGTGTGTCGTGTAGGGTTTGGATGGAGGACTTGAACTTCAGTCTGAAGCGGATGGGGAGATGCAAAAAGAATAGGCAGCAGGATCTTCAGCAAACTTCAAGGGCAAATGCGACCCGAAACCGGCTGGAAGCCTACACCTTCAACCCTACACCTCAGAACCCAAACCCTCAAATCGCGAAGCCCTCAACGCGCAAACGCTCAAGCCCTAAAGCTTTCCACCCTGAGGCAAAAGTCCTCAAAGCTTAAAGCTTCCAACCTTAAACCCTCAAATCCTGAAGCTTCCAACCCTACGCCAAAAAAACACGTCTCTCGTCAGGCGCTGGTGGGTGCACTGGCTGTCTCTTCGGTCTCTTGAGCGCTCCCGTCTTTCGGCCTGAGCTATCCATGTGAGCACATGGGTTATATAGGGATTTTATAGGGATCCTATTCCAGGCTTTACTGAGGGGCATATGACTCATGTAAGATCACAATGGAGTGGTTTCCACATGGCCTCCCCCCCCTGAACCCCAAGGATATCGAGAGGCCATATATACAGGGATACTGGGGCCCCAGTTACAGGTTACAGAAGGCTTGTTTTGGGAACTCCCACGTCTGTGTCAGTGGGATAATGTGGCCCTAAACCTTCAATATGGCGAATTTGGCAGTGTTGCAGTCATCCTGATGCTGTTTTATGTAAACCTCAAGATTTTGCCCAGATGCTCCGGTTTCACGTATAAGCATCTTCTACACCGGGTTAGGAAAAGGATTTAATAGAAGTCCTAAACGAGGCCTCAGTAAGGGGTTTTTCAGGGGGTCTTTCATTTTTTGCAATGACCAACCTCCGGTATTTGAACGCTCGACCCAGCATCCGGAAATCTCAGCCGCTTGCCTTAAAAACCTGAAACCTGAACATCTACGCCCCAGCCCACCAAAACCTAAATCAGCGCGGCCCATGTCCTAAACTTGAAGCTCTAAACTGCATCTCGGTTTGGGGCTTTCTGGCGTAGGGCGAAGTCTAGGGTTGAGGACTTACAAAGAAGCTTCAGAAAACAATTGGAGGAGTCCAAGGCATTTTGGCAATATACTTTGGTTTAGTCCCACACCCTAAAGCTCCAGCCTAAAGACCAGAAGCTTGGAACGCAATACTCTGTAAGTCCTGCGTCAGGACCACGATGGAAAATCGCTCATTCCGTATCCATTCACATTTCAGTTTCTCCAGGTGCATTCGGCTCCTTAAAGCGCTGGTCCTGAACCATGACGACATCTTGTCCTCTAGACCACTAAGCCCTAAACCCTATACCCTTGACCTGAAACCGCAGGTTATCCTCTCGCTTTGTATGCTCTTCCTGGCACCATTGCTCCCTGTCAAATTGTTGGATATTGGGTGTTAAGGTTTGGGGCTTGAGGTTTCGGGTCTTGGGCTTTAGGATTCAGGCTTTAGATTGGGGTTGCCAAGCTTAGTGGTCGCTTAAATTGGGCTGCCTGTTTCTTCCGAATACACAAGGACCCTTATCATGGTATATTTGACCTTTAGCGGGTCATATGGTGAACAGGTGGCCAGATTAAGATTGAGATGTATGTTTGCTTTAGAGTCAACAGGGTAGTGCTTTGGCATTTGTTGCGACTTCCCTTCTTGTTCTTCACAGGGGCGACTTCATGAGAAGATTCAGGAAGCCTGAAGCTTCAGCCCTCTAAACCCTTAACCCTAAAACCCTAACCTCCTAAACCGTCGTTTGACCCTCAGGTTTAGGCAGCTGAGGGTTGAGGGTTTGGTGTTTCACGTTTAGGGGTTCGGCTTCAGGGTTTTATGGTTTGAGGGTTTGGGGTTTGGGCTTTAGGGGTGGTACCTACCTCGGATGAATAGGGAATATTGGACTACAACAATGGAAAATCAAGTGGAAAAGAACATGGAACATCACATGGAAGCTAGAGTTACGGAGTTGCGTGGGGCTTATCTCGTGATATTACGGGTGCTATCATCAAGATTCAGATGGACAAGAAATGGAGAGTGAAGTGGAAATTGGGTTGCATAGGGGTAAGAAACTTACAATTGGTCGGTTGGTCGGTCGGGAATGAATGGAAAAGACCTTTGGAATATAAATGGGGGCTAATATAGGGATTACTCGGCGTCCATTCCTTCATTGCTTGCTAACGGAGGTAAGTGAACCCCAGATAGGTAAAGCAGCGCGCAAAAGAGCTTCAGAGAGTATGGTGATATTTTGTCTCAAACTGTGGTGTAGGGTTTAGGCCCCCTGAACCCTATACCCCACATATTCCATGAAGTGCTTCCGCCCCTGAAGTCTGCAAGTTAGGGGTCACGGTCTAGGTTGCAACAGGGGAGGCGGGTCAAGTCTCCTTGCCCTAGGCCTCCTTGAGCCGGCAGAGCAGGTAGAGAGAAGCTGACAGCAGGGCTTTCTTCAAAATCCAAGCCACTTACACTCCCCAAACTAACATGGAAACCCATATAGACCCCTTTTAGAAGGACTGTAGTCTTTATAGGGCCCTTTTTGAGCTTCCATGTTAGTTTCCGGGAGTGTAATCCAATGTCCCCAGAAAGTCACCGGTAGTCGTACGCCCCCCCCCCAGATGCACAATGGAAAACACGGGTTTTGGAGGGGCGTCGAAAATGCGAGTTGGAGTTCGCGAGTTCAGAGATCTGGCTTCAGAGAGTTTACTCGAGCTACAGTCTAAGCCCATAATCCTTTTGATAGGATCCCCATGTAATCTCCATATATGCCCTCTTAAGGAGTTTAGACGGAAGTTCACACTAGCGAACGGCTCGGTTTATGGTTTAGAGTTTACAGTCCTCGCGTCCATTTTGTGTAATCCCAAGTGGAAGCTTGCAGCAAGCAGGTTGTACAATGAGAACTCGTCACATGGCGTCCTGTCAGTTATTGTAGTGTTGGTTTTGAAGAAGGAGTTCTTGCCTACAGCCGCATCGGAGCTACATTGTATGCCGCGGCTCCCCAACCCTGAGACCCAAACCCTAAGCTCTAAACCTCAAAGCCCTAGACTTACTAGACTGTCGTAGTGTCATACATTTTTGATAACTCACAGCAGGAATGTGGACTGCAGTCCCTTGGTGGCTATCAAGGTGCCAACGGTAAAACCCACCACAAATTTAACCCAACAACCTCAGACACCAAACGCAAACCCCCAGACATCAAAGCTCACACCAAAAGCCCCTAAACCCCTAAGCCTTAACCCTGAAACCGTCAGCCCCTAGACGCCTAAGTCCCAACCCCTAAACTTCTAAACCCTAAACCCCTGCACCCTAAGCTTCCAAGCCAGAATCTTACCTCGGGTAAGCAAGGAATGAAGGAATGGAATCCCCCTTGGTACTTTTCATGTTCTTTTTCATTCCTAAGCTTGAACCCTCAACCTCAAATCCTAAATGGTAGTTAGCAGATTCTTTTCCATGCCTTCATTCCCTACTAACTAGAGGTAAATATGCTAAACCCTGTGTAATCTCAGAACCAATTTCCGGTTCAGTATATAACCTAAACCTCCAAGCCCCACCCAATTCACAAAGCCCCGAGGATCGTCGCTTTCATCGCGATCGTTATGATCGTAGAGGGCGCGCGCTCTCGCTGCTTTGGAAACACGTTTTAGAGTTTCGGGTTAGAATATGTTTGCTTGTTTGCTTTGGGGTCTCTGCCTTCCAGCTTCCTCCATACCCCACCACCCCCGACCGTTCCGCAAACAACCCTGCCCGTCGGCAGCGGTCAGCCCTTCCCCCATTCCTTCCCCCTTCCTCCCCACTCCTCTTCTTATATCCCATGGATAGAACCGCTAACCGCTTAATCAGTCCCACAATATCCTCCAAGAATATTGAGGGCAAAACAGATGTGTACAGCTGACTGTGGTTTACAGCTCCGGTCCTCCCGCCCAAGTTCGCCGAACCACTGCCCGCTTCACAGAAGGGCTTGCGGTTTGGGGTGTTGGCGACTGTGCCTTCGTAGAACTTCATTTCAGGGTTTCGGGCTCGACTTAGTTTGCCCCGGCATTTCTGGCGTACGCCCGGTCAGGCATGCACATCCATATTTGCCCTCAATTGTAGCAGTTTCTGTTGTCTTTGCCATGCCTTAGATCCCAAATATGTGTTGAGTCCTGTCCTGCTCTGCGCATCAGTGGCATCATGTTCCTCATGGCGATCTTCCCACCTGGGATCATCATGATGATGCTGGCAACCGCGATCTCGATCCTGGGGCTGCTTCAAGCAGATTTTGAGTTTAGGGTTTTGGGTTTTGGGTGTAGCGTTTGGAGGCCTGAAGAACCCACAGCATTGTCTCCTCATTATCCTCGTGGAATTGTAGTATTTTGTCTGCTGAAACTTTTGGCTTTGGATTGTGAGTTTTCTTGAGATGCAAGCTATGAAGCTGAGAGCCAAAGCTGAAACCTTAACTGCCAGACTTTCAGACTACGCGAGCAAGACCTGTCGTTGCGGCAGCAACTGCGGCGGCTGCCGCTGCACCGCCACTGGCGTACCGTCGCACCGTCGCACCGCGGGGCGGCGGCGGCGGCGGCGGCGGCGGCGGCGGCGGCGGTGGTGGTGGTGGTGGCGGTGACAAAGATGGCGGCGGTGGTGGTACTTGTGCTTGTTGTTGTTGTTGTCGTTGATGGTGGTGGTGCTGGTGGTGGCGGCGGCGGCAGTGGCGGTGGTGGCAGGGTGGCTGTCGCTGCTGCTGCTGCTGCTGCTGCTGCTGCTGCTGCTGCTGCTTTTGCTGTTGCTGTTGGCGTTGCTGCTGGTGCTGGTGCTGCTGGTTGTGCCTTTTTTGTTAGTACCTTTTTCTTGTTGTTACATGGTCAAAACACTTTTGAAGCCAGATCATATAAACAGACCTTCAATGTTGTCATGGGGTCTGGTTGTCCTTTTCGTCATTAGGCGGCACGCAGGGTAAAACGCACTTTCCGCAGGGTGGCGCTAGATTCGCGGTAGATCCGCGCTATGCTTCCCTTACCAGCAGTTGGTGTCATGCGAGCGCTAAGCTTGACCATGGGCAATTGTATTTGTGGAGCTTCTATCATTCTCAAGAGCCCCAGACAATTCACAAGAGGCAGACTTTATTGGGGCTAGGAAGTTTGAGTTGCCGCAACGCTTTCGGCTGTAGATGGCGCTAGAAGCGCGCTAGTATCTGTAGTCCGTGTAGGTCGTAACCCACCAGGGGTCAGCAACCAATGTTTATAACAGGACATTTTTTCGTGCATGTTGATTCCCTAAGAAATCCAAGGCGGCGTATACTAATTGGAGTCGAGCTGTTGCAATG